GGACTAGCACATAAAAGGAATGGAATGGAGGCATGTAAGGCTGGAACAAAGCATTGCAAGGAGAGGATGGTATGAAATGAAGGTGGAAAGTGATCATGTGGGGACTTTAGAGGTTGGTAAAGAGTGTGAGGTTGTTTTAGTTCTGTTTTAAATGTTTCTGGCTGTTTGGAGAAAAGATTACTACAGGTGGTGGGGCAAAAGTGAAGTGTATTATAATAGCCTAAGAAAAAGTCTGTTGTGGGCTTGAATACCATGGTGGTGAAAATGAAGAGTTAATGAGTTCAAGATATATTTTGGAAGTAGAATTAATTGGACATGGTAATGGATTGGGAGTAAATTGGAGTAAGAGAAAACAAGATGTTGGCTAGGTTCTATCTTTCATATAATACTCAAAATAGAACCATTTACTGAGGTAAGAAAAAACAGCAGAGGAATAGCTTTTGGAAGGAAACTGGGAGATATATTTTAAACATATCCTATTTGAGATGTCTATTCAGCACCTAAGTGAAGTGCTAAGTGGGCAGTCACCTGTATACATCTGGTGCTTAAGAGAGAGCTCAAAGGTTAAAAAGACACAAATTTAGGAGTTATTAACATATGGGGGATATTTTATGTCATAGAACTAGAGGCTGTCACCCAAGGTGAGAATTTTAGTGGAGAAACCTGAGACTGAATCTCAACATTCAGAGGTTGAGAATGGGTGGAGAATTCAGCAAAGATGGAAAGGAAGCAAGCCAAAGGAGTAAGAGAAAAAAAAAAAGATTTTGATGACCTGGAAACAAACAGGGAAACATGAGTCATGAAAGAGAGAATCATCAGCTGAGGCAAATCTGCTGAAATGTTAAGAAAATTGAGGATAAAGAAGTGTGTCCATTTGGTCTGATTTAATGTTCTCCTGGAAAGGCTGGATTAGTTGCTACTCCTATTGTTCCATAATTCCATATATGTGTTTTATGGTATATACCATACCATTTACCATACTTCATCGTAACTGTTTTAACTACCCGTGGCACTCATTAGTGAAAGGTGAGTGACTCACCTGAGATGGAAATTCAACCAAGAGATTTTATTGGGGGGCTGCCCGAAGGGGAAGAAAAGGAGAGGAAAAGAGCAGCAGCCTGAGCCTGCAAGCTTCAGTTTAGGAAGGGTTGCTTAGGCAACTTGGCGGGTGCTAATTGGCAGGGTGACTCAGGAATGGGTGCTGATTGGCAGGGTGACTCAGGAACCAGCAAGTAGATACTGTGTCCTGTGGCGGATTGGTTGAGAAAACTTTTGACTTTGGCGCCGCCCTCCGGAGAGGAGGGGGAGGGGTAAGGGATGACATGATGTTCTTCTAGAGAGATGGAAACTTAACGTCGGTGGGGAGAAACTTGATGGGGGAAATAAAACCAAAAGGCAAGGTGTCCCACACACCCAACAATTAGATTTTAAGTTCTGTGAGGATAAGGACCATGTCTGATTGGGTCACAATAGCATAGTGACTGGCATGTAGTAAAATCTGAATAAATAATTTTTCAGTGGTGAAGGAATAAAGAATGAATGAACAAAAGATGTACAAAGGTCATTGACACTCATTCTCTTTCTCAAATGAAAAATAAGAATTATATCTGATTCCTCAACTCTAGGTATTTCATCAAAACTCAACAATTAAAGTCCCTGGACAGTGACACTGGAGGCCATCCATTGGTTGTGCTGGGGATTGAATCCAGGGCTTGAAGCATGCTAGGCAAGCACTATACCTCTACATCCTTGACTAAGGTTGGTCTTAATACACAGAAATAGTATAGGAACAGTAAGAGGAAGGAAAAGTCCATCAAAAGCAGGACTCAAATATATTAAAATGCTCCATAAACTCAACTTTATAACCACCAGTTCTTCCGCTGTTGCAGAAACTATTAGAGCTGCACACTACCTTTCTATGGCATTTTGTTTTATCATTTGATGCTATGCAATATATTCATTGTTAACTCGATTTCACCCATAAACTTTATGGGATTGTTTGTGGGGAGAAGCTTATGTTGGTGCAAAATAGCTGCATGAATTTGCACCTTCTCATGCCTCAACTCTTTCCTGTCAGGAATCTATTTTGAGTTATCTACTCAGTGAGGAGTCCTCATATTTTTGCAGCTCTTTTTTATCTAAGGAAGAACTAGAGTTCTATTTTTTTTTTTTGTGTGTGTGTGTGTGTGTGTGTTTCCCTATCGTGTTTATGCAGACCAATCAAAGTCGACTGCAAGATTGATCTAAGTTCTAAAGAGCAGAGCATTCATCTTAGAATAGGCGTATATTTCTTTTCATGCTTGGACTAATGTAGGCTACTTGTTTTCTGCCAATATGCTTATGTATTAGTTTCCTATGACTGCTGTAATAAATTATAAAAAAACTTGGTAGCTTAAAACAATATATATTTTTTTCTCTTCCAGTTCTCGAGGTCAGGAGTCCAAAATTAGTATGGACAGAGCTGTACTTCCTATACAGGCTTTAGGAACTCCTTGTATTTTCCAGCTTCTGTGGTTGATAGCATTCCTTAGCTTGTGGCTACATCACTCGAATCAATGCCTCTGTGATCACACTGCCTTCTTTTCTGGTATGTAGGATCTCCTGCTTCTCTCATAAGAATTTCTGTGATTGTAGTTGGGCCCATCCTGATAATCCCAGATAATCTCCCCATCTCAAGATCATTAACTTAATCATACCTATAAAGATCTGATCTTATATATTTGGGGGCCATTATCAGCTTACCATAATTTACAGCTCAAAAGTATACCAACTACTTATTGAAACTCATGAAAAGCTTTTTTTTTTTTTTTTTTTTTTTTGCAGTTCTAGGGATTGAACCCACTGAGCTATATATCTCATGTCCCTCCTTTTAAATTCTGATACAGGGTCTCACTAAATTGTTCTGGCTGGCCTTGAATTTGTGATCCTTCTGCTTCAACCTCCCAGGTAACTGAGATTATAGTTGTGTACCAATGCTCCTTGCCCATGAAAAATTTTATACACTCCTCAAATCCCAATGTATGCTAAGCCCAAACAATTATTTTGATTTTAAACATTTTATTTTACAATAAAATGTTAAAATTGTTTTGATTTAGTGATAAATGTAAAGTGCTACATATAGGTTCTAAAATAACCATACTATTTAAAATTATCTGGGATGCTTATAATTTGAACTTAAAGAATTGGCTAAATTGAAGAGAGAAGAGAAAGCTTAAATAATAATCATATAGCTTTCTGCATATGTATGAAGATGTTTGACAAAGAATAGGGATTAGATGCATGCTGTATAAATTGAATCAGGAATAATTAACTGCAGGCAGAATCAGATTTCAATCCATTACAAAGAATTCAGAAAGGGCAATGGAAGAGGCCTCCTCAAAATGAAATCACTTCCTAGTTCTGGAAGTGTTCATGAATGTGCAAAGGCCCTGAGGGAGGCATGCAGAGAAAAAAGGTAGAGTATACATCCACAGGTACAATCATGAGAAATTTAATAAAAACAAAATCTCTTTAATGATTGATTCTAGATAGCACAAGTAATATTACTCTTCTCCAAACTAATTTTCTAATTACAGCCAGCCTGATCTTTTAAAAAGTCATATCTGATTATGTCAGCCCCTTAATAACATTCTGCACTAAAACCCTTCATTTGATTAAAGGCCCTTTCTATATTGACTCCCTGGCTTCCTTGCCAGTCTCATCTGGAGTTTTTACCTGCATTCTTGTCATGTTTCAGTTGCTCAACTTTAGAGAGTCCTTCCTACCTCCAGCTATTGAACAACTTCTTCCAAACCTCAATGCCTCTATCCTTTTTGCCTAGCATACTCAAAGATAGCTTTCTCCAGGAAGGCTTCTTTAACATGCCAGACTAATTGGTTTCCCATGCATACCTGCAAATTTCTCTGAACTGCTTCAAGATGAAGCATTCATTGCATAGTTGATTATTTGTCTTACTAAAAGGTAAGCTCTCTGAGGACAGACATTATATCTTCTTCAGCACAGGGCCTGGCATATAGTGGGCATATGCAAATATTTGTTGGCTGAATAAATGGACTTTTAAAAAATTTGGCTAAAGTGCAAAAGAAGACTGATGGGGGAAAAATGTTTGCCTAACTGATAGCAGACCCCTAGTTGCAAAACTTCAGAAATACCGCTATGGTTTCTTAAAGGAATGTATTTCATAAAAGAAAAGGGAGGCTAATGAGGAAAATTAAACAATCATCAAACAAACTAGGTCCATTAAACTGGAATCAGCATGGAATACAGAAATCCTGGGAAGCAGAGCACAACAACTTAAGATACATCATGCATTCAGTCATTATTACCAAATATTTGTGGAGTGCTTATTATGTGCCTGGCATTTGGGGCAGGCTGGGCATACAAGGTAGGCAAGTATTACACAGTCTTTGTTCTTACAAAACATACAGCCCAATCGGGATGGACAAATACTTTGCAAAGTAATTTCATTTCAAAGGTAAGCCCTGATAAAGAAGGTATATCATTGTTATGAAATACCTAATTTAGTGGCAGGTAGGTAGGAAGGATAGAAGAATGTCGGGCATGGACTGGGTGGTCAGGAAGCCTTTCTGAGTTATGGAGGCCCTGACGGTCTGGGAAACTCTTAAGTTCGATAACCATAATTTGGAGATTTCAAAGAGAGATTCAAGGGCACCTTGATAGATTTGACTCAGTGATCCCTGGTGTGAAAGGTCTTTTGCCTGGTCAGCAAGGCTTGTCCCTGGGCAAGAATGACAACATTCTGCACTTCATCCCACCAGAGCGGGACCTGTCACAAAGCGCTGGTTCCTTGTTCCCGCAGGGTTCCACCAAGGGCAGGGCAGCCGCCGCCCGCAGACAGCCTGGCGGTGCCCTAGACGCCAGACTTACCCAACTCCACCCTGGGAAGAGGCGTGGAGACCCCGCCCACGCCCCGGCGAGCTCTGCCGGCGCGTCCGGGGGCCGTCCCCCGGCCGCCGCGGCCACGTGACCCGAAGTGTGACGTAGGAGGAAGGAGACGCCATTAGAGGGAGGTGGAGAGGGAGCGCTCTTCGCCTTTCCTCCGGTGCCTGACGTGGTGGCTAAGGCCCTTCATTCTCGGACTTTCTCTCGGTCCTTCCAGGCCTCGCCCGAGGACAGAGAGGAGCCAGCGCCGGGTCGGCGGGCCGTTGGCAGGGCGCGGAGTCGGTCGCGGCCGTGAAGGCGCTGCCGCGGCTGTGGGGAGCTCGGCGCAGTTCTTGTGCTCGGGCGGCCGGGAAGCGGCGGGATGGCTGCGGCCGGCGGCGGAGCGGCGGCGGGCCGAGCTTACTCATTCAAGGTGGTGCTGCTCGGGGAAGGCTGCGTGGGAAAGACGTCGCTGGTGCTGCGCTACTGCGAGAACAAGTTCAACGACAAACACATCACCACTCTGCAGGTGCGGACCCCGGGCAGCGGGAGGTGGCGCCTCGGGGCCCCCACATACCTGGGGCGGTGAGGACTTTGCCGCCCGAGTCCGCGGGATCTGGGCTGGCAAACTTCAGGCCTGTCACCTCCACCTTCGGATTGGTTTTCCGAGTTCGCCTTGGTTTCAGGCTAGGTCGGGGCGCCGATTGATGGTGAGGACAGGCTGTTGGACGGGGGGGTGGAAGAACCCTGAAAAGTCCCAGTGTCCTCGGTGGTAGCTGCGCACTTCGGGGAGTCCCCTTCGGTGGACTAGTTTTTCCCCTTTGATGAGCTTCCGCTTGGGCCCTAGGTGTTTTCACCCTACAGTCTCCGAGTAGCAGGGCTTTTTCTGTACTTCGGAAATAGGAACTTAGCTGCAGGTCTGATTTTGCGAAAGGTGATTTGCAACTTAAAGTACTTACTGATGACAAAGTGTTTATGCAAGTTCCATTTTGTCCTGTTAGCAGGAATGGCAAAACAGCCATCTCTGGAGGGTTTTTGAAATGACCGCTTGCTGGTGCAGGTTACGCAGTTTCATTGCAGCCTGCGTGGGTCTGACTTGTGGGTCACTCATTCTGCGAGGTCGGTCGACCCACGTTGACACGTCATGTGAATACTGGCCAGCAATTGGTCCCCAAACTAAAAGCTTAGACGCTGCTACTATTCATTTCCTTAACCTGTCATGAAAGGCTGACTTTCTTCTGCACTTATATGGGAAAACGTTAAAATATAATCATTAAGAATGAAGCCAGGCCTTTGAAGAGTATTCTCTCCCCCACACTCCTGAAGAAATCGGTTTGCATTTGTTAGGAAAAGTTTATCCTACTAATCTGGCTTGGTAAATTTGGCCAGAGGCAGTAAAGTCTAGTGGACATTTGAGTTTGATTGCCTAGATTGTATCCTGTCTTAATCCATTTAATTAGCTGCGTAATCTTGGGTAAGTTTCTTAATCTGTCTGACCCTAAATTTCTTCTTCTGTTAAAATGGTCATAATAATAGTATCTAGCACATAGGGTTGTCAGGATAAGTATATGTAAAAGCACTAGGACTTGATGCAGTGTAAATACCCTATTTTTAGGGCCCCAACTTGCACAGTAGATTTTAATTAGTAATTGTGAAGTGTACAAGAACATGGATGCTATTTAATGGAATGCATAATCTAACCATTGTGACATTTGATGTTTGATGCTATTATTAAACTGTTGGGTCTAGAATATAGGAAGATGCTGTGATTCTGATTCCATGTTCTATTTTTACCCTTCTTTTCTTAATCCTATGTGAAACATAATATCTGAATGTCAGATTATAAATTGCCACAAGTTAATGATGCAGTGGTGCCAAAGCTCAACTTTGAACCCTGGTCTGACTTAGGATTTTGAATAGTTAACTTTGACTGCATCTGGATATTGATAAACAAATATTTAGCAATTTCCTTTACGCTAAGATCTAAAATGAAAACTATTATAATTGAGATCTTAATGGTTTTTAAAAAGATAATTTAGTATTCTAACCTAAAAATTATATTTTTATTAGACATCTCAAAAACATGCTCAAAACTAAATACCTGAGAGAAGTCAGTGCAAACCACATAGGAAAGAATAAAGTTATAGTAGATCTTCAGTATCAAAAGCATAAAAGACCTGATTTTTATGTTTATATAACTCATCACAGTATCTGGATTTTTATAGAATTGAGGACTTTGTTGTATACCAATTTATGGGAACAGTACTCTAATCTTTTTCTCTTAGATATCAGTTCACCTCATTTTTCTTTTTTTTCCTGAGAAGTGTGATTTGTGTGACCTAGGAGACACAATGTTATATGCCTTTAATTTCCAAAATGAGAGGATCATGCATCAGAAGATATGAGAAGAGTTCCCTTTTTTCTTGTCAAGAAACTTTTCTTTTTGGTTGTTGATGGACCTATATTTATTTGTTTATATGCCACACATGGGACGCAAGCACTCTGTCACTGAGCCACAACCCCAGCCCCAAGAAACTATCTTTTTAAAGTACTTTTTGTTTTGCAAACTATGCTCTTATCCATTCATATTTTTTTTAAAAATAGTATGACTGATTAGAACCTGATAGTTCATGATTCACTGTTTCAGTCTTTTTTTTTTGAATTCTTCAGTCAGTTGATTGTCCACCTTTTTATTTTTTAACATCTTGAAGGTAAAATGAACTGATGTCAGAGAAAGTAGAAAACTACTGAGGTGGCCCATTTCCTTTTTATACAGGTCTAATTTTCAGCAAGTTTTTCTTTGTATCAAGTCAAACTCTGTTTTTTTTGTAGTTACCACCCTAGTTCTGCCCTCTGAATCTTGGTCTCATATGACATCACTTCTGATAGATAGTTGAAGATAACTTATTACATCCCCTTGAGTTTGGTCTTCTTTGGGTAACACAGCTCTAGTTCCTTTAACTGGATCTCCAGTGACATTATTTAAAATCCTTCCACTATTTTTTTTTTTAATTTTTACTTTTGTAGTTGTAAATGGACAGAATGGCTTTATATGTTTATTTGTTTTTTATTTTTTTTGTATATGAAAGCAGAATGCATTACAATTCATATTACACATAGAGCACAATATTTCATATCTCTGGTTGTATATAAAGTACATTCACTCCAATTTATGTCTTCATACATGTACTTTGGATAATGACGTTTATCACATTCCACCATCATTTCTAACCCCCTGCCCCCTCCCTTCCCCTCCCACCCCTCTGCCCTATCTAGAGTTTGTCTATTCCTCCCATGTTCCCTCTCCCTACCCCACAATGAATCAGTCTCCTTGTATCAGAGAAAACATTCAGCGTTTGGTTTTTTGGGTTTGGCTAACTTCACTTAGCATTATCTTCTCCAATTTACCTGCAAATGCCATGGTTTTATTCTCTTTTATTGCTGAATAATATTCCATGTGTATATATACACCACATTTTCTTTATCCATTCATCTGCTGAAGGGCATCTAAGTTGGTTCCACAGTTTAGCTACTGTGAATTGTGCTTCTATAAATGTTAATGTGGTTGTGTCTTTGAAGTATGCTGTTTTTAAGTCCTTTGGGTATAGACTGAGGAGCGGATAGATAGCTGGGTCAAATGGTGGTTCCATTCCCAGTTTTACAAGGAATCTCCATACTGCTTTCCATGTTGGCTGCACCAATTTGCAGTCCTACCAGCAGTGTATGAGTGTACCTTTTTCCCCACATCCTTGCCAACACTTATTGTTGTTTGTCTTCATAATAGCTGCCATTCTGACAAGAGATTTATTAGAGTAGTTTTGATTTGTATTTCTCTAATTGCTAAAGATGATGAACATTTTTTAATATATTTGTTGATTGATTGTATATCATCTTCTGAGAAGTGTCTGTTCAGGTCCTTGGCCCATTTATTGATTGGGTTATTTGTTTTTTTGATGTTTATCTTTTTGAGTTCTTTATATACCCTAGAGATTAGTGCTCTATCTGATATGTGAGGGGTAAATATTTGCTCCCAAGATGTAGGCTCTCTATTTACCTTACATATTGTTTCTTTAGCTGAGAAGAAACTTTTTAGTTTGAATCCATCCCTTTTATTAATTCTTGCGCTACAGGAGTTTTAGTAAGGAAGTTAGGGCCTAATCAGTATTATCAAAATGACCATACTAGCAAAAGCACTATATATATTTAATGCAACTCCAATCAAAATCCCAATGGTATTCCTCTTAGAAATAGAAAAAGCAATCATGAAATTCATCTGGAAAAATAAGAGACCCAAAATAGCTAAAGCAATCCTTAGCAGGAAGAGTGAAGCAGGTAGGTAGCATCACTATACCAGACCTTAAACTATACTACAGAGCAATAGTAACAAAAACAGCATGGTATTGGCACCAAAACAGACTGGTAGACCAATGGTACAGAATAGAGGACACAGAAACTAACCCACAGAATTACAATTAGAGGTGCCAAAAGCATACATTGGAGAAAAGATAGCCTCTTCAGCAAATGGTGCTGGGAAAACTGGAAATCCATATGCAACAAAATGAAATTAAACCCCTCTCTCTTACTATGCACAAAACTCAACTCAAAGTGGATCAAGGACCTAGGAATTAAACCAGAGACCCTGTGTCTAATAGAAGAAAAAGTAGGCCCTAATCTTATTTGTTTTATTTTTATGTGGTGCTGAGGATTGAACCCAGTGCCTCGCACATGCTAGGCAAGTGCTCTGCCACTGAGCTACAGCCCCAATCCTAAAATCCTTTCACTATTTCAACATCTCTCCTAGAGTGTTTAATCACTCTTAGTCATCATCCTTCTTTTCTTACATTTTCTTATATTTGACCTGTTAAAGTTCAGGTACATCTGATTTGCTTCAATGATTAAAGTCTGTTAATTTATATATTTATTAGTTATTTTGCAGTACTAGGGATAGAACCCGGGGACAGAACCCAGGGCTGCACCCATGCTTGGCAAGCACTCTGCCACTGAGCTACTTTCCCAGCCTTTTTTTTCTTTTTCTTTAAGTTTTAATTTTGAGGGTCTCACTTAAGTTACCCAGGCTGGCCTGAAACTTGTGATCCTCCTACATCAGTCTTCAGAGTAGCTGGGACTATAGGTGTGTGTCACCACAACAGCAGTTAATGTCCTTTTAAATTTGGATTTTGTGGGCTGGGGTTGTGGCTCAGTGGTAGAGCGCTTGCCTAGCATGTGTGAGGCACTGGGTTCCATCCTCAGCACCACATTAAAAAATAAACAAATAAAAATAAAGTTATTGTGTTCAACTATAACTGAAAAATATTTTTTTAAAAAATCCTTGATTTGGGGGGCTCGGATTGTGGCTCAGTGTAGAGTGCTTGCCTAGCACACATGAGGCACTGGGTTCGATCCTCAGCACCACATTAAAAAAAAAAATGAAATAAAGATTTTGTGTGTCTAGTATTTTTTTAAAAAATCCTTGGTTTTGTAATTCATGAACAATTGTTTGGCCTTCTGTGGGCCAGGAACTGGATGGGT